TTTTTTTTTACAGTGGTACTGCAGCCTGTTTCCTATTGTTTTGTTTCCTTTTGTTCCCTTTCCTTTCCTTTCCAGTGATCCAGTGGTTGTCCAGCCTGTTTCCTTTCCTTTCCTCCTCTCCTCGCTTTAGGCTACATGGAAACATGGATGACTTCACAGTGTGGCTTGACAGTCGGAGAGGGGAAGTCATTTAGGTATTCTGGGTTAACAAGGCGGCAGGCAGGATATGCAGACATCAGCAGGAGCCTCCACCAGCGCTGAGGGATGGCACTCATGCAGAGTAAACTTCCTCACTCGTACGGCTTCCAATGTATTGCAGTTATTAACTGAGTTGGACAGTTGGAGGATGATGTAGTCTGAGCCACATCCAGGGAAAACACTTCTGAAAGCTGCATTGATCTGTCTCACTGTTTGCCTCTGTATTATTTGTGACAGGCGATCTGGAAATCTTAAGCTCTTTTGGTTTGTATTCTCTGGTTAGTAAAGGCTAGTTATATGCCAAGGAGGTTATGTCTTCATCTGTGTATGTGTTTGTATTTGCTCGATTATGCAAAAACTACTAGTTTGATGGAGGAATGCGGCTGGAAAGAACCCATTTAAGTCTGGTGAAGTAATTTCTTTATATGTTATATATCGCTTGCCTGTTCAGAACACTGAGGTTAATCACCCTGATGCTTGGATGTCCCAAGATCTATAGGCTCAAAATCGGATGATGACCAGGCCTTTGCAGTGGCTGCCCCTGATCTCTGTAACAGTTAACCTCTTGATATCAGAACCGTTCAGACTGTAGAAATGTTTAAATCGCTGCTAAAGACCCACTTCTTCTCACTGGCTTTCAATTTGAGTTGTGTTTGAGAAGCTGATTATCATATACTATTGTGCAATACTCTAATATGTAAGATGTTTAACATTATACAGCTTTTTTATATTCAAGCTATTCTCTTATTTCAGGCTGTTCTGCAATTTAGTCAACTGTGGTTGTTTTAGAACTACTATATAAATAAACTTTGACTTGACTTGACTCACAGCAAGAGGGTTCCTGGTTAAAATCCTGGTTTTTGTGTGGAGTTTGCTCTGGGTACTAGAGTTTCCTCCCAAAATCCAAACACATGCAGGTTGGAGTTAAGTTAAGACTCTAAATTGACTGTATGGTGGTGAAAGTGAGTCATTATCCGTCTCTGTATGTTGGCCTTGTGATACGCTGGCGACCTGTCCAGGGTGTACCCCACCTCTCACCCAATGTCAGCTGGGATTGGCTCCAGCTCCCCCTGTGATCCTCGAGGGATCTGCGATAATGGATGGATGGATGGAATTATGTTTTAGGACAAATAAATCATGTAGGTTATCAGACCACTTCTTTCTTTTACATTTTATTTGAAGAACTAGACAATCATGTTTCATGCTGAGGTAGCATGCACTTCTATTTATCTGAGCGGAACGTAATTCTGCTCCAGAATGAAGCATCTCTTTTTCCTCTTCTTTCATTTCCCTATCCGTTTTTCTTCTCACCTTCTTCTTTGTGCACTCACTCCCACTCTGTCTCTTTCAAGGCCACTACAGACTAAACTGTGACCTACTGGAGATGGTCTCTAATTACTTTGTACTACAGTTACTACAGCCAGGCAAACAGAGCAGTCTACGCAGGGACCTCACCATGACTGTCAGAGAGGATCTTCTCACTGTGGGTGGCATCTCTTCATATTGTTCATACATGCATAATCTGACAACTTAGGTTCATTCATTTTGTTCATGTTGCTCTAAGAGTATTTTCATTGGCACATGAAGACTACATTTCTCTCTCTCTGTGTTTGTTTCTTTCTTCACGTCTCCATCCTTTCACCATTTCTCTTGTTAACCTCAGTCTAAATACTTCCTTGGTTTATGTCTGTCACATATAGATACAGTTCATACAGAAACACGTCCTGGAACTGACCATACATGTCATCCTTCCACATATGTACTCATGTTCTATATATATATGGGCTCCATTTGTTCTGCGTTCCTGTCAGCAGTTTTATCACCGTGCCGTCTCAGTCTCGCCGCTGCGGGGGACACACGCTCAGCCAGCAGCGGTGGTGGAAGGACCACTGCTAGACAAAACAAAGAGAAGGAGGAGGGGACATGTACACGTACATATAACTTACTGCTGACAGGATATTAATAACTTTCTCTCAGAGGGCCTCTGGTTTTGTAGGTTTCCTCTCTTTATTACAGACTGCAATAACAATGTTTAGCTTAGCATTTGACCACATCGTTTGATTTCTTTTGGTCACTGTCTTGGGCTTGAAATGTGTTAACTTGATCAGTCATTTTTTTCTTCGAACAAAGGACTTTTTCAGTTTTTCAAATGTTCCTGAAAAGAGATGTTTAAAAAAAGCATTAAGAACATATACGGTACATATTGTTGGGTAAAACCAGATGTTTTATCGTCCCTTGATGAGCTGTATTTTTACAGCTTTATTTTCAGCTGCATGATGGATGATCATCAAACTTTCCACAAAAGTTAAAACTCTTTGTACAAAAGCCTTTCAGATCTACTCCTCAAACAGAACACAAGAAAGTATTTACCAGAAACAATGTGTGTTGATTGTAAGGATGGAAAAAGTGTGTGTGTGTCATTACATTTTAAGGCACAACGTGTTTTAAGGTTAGGTTTAGGTTAAGTTTAGTTTAAAGTTATATTAAGGGTAGGTAAAATAAAGTTAGGTTTAGATTAAGGTTAAGTTTAGTTTAAAGTTATATTAAGGGTAGGTAAAATAAGGTTAGGTTTGGTTAGATTAAAGTTAAAGTGAGATTTAGGTTAAAGCAAATTAAGATGAAGGTCAGATTTAGGTTACGTTTAGGTTGAGGATAGGGTTAGGTGAATTAGTTACTATGGTTAAGGTTAGACTAACAATCTAAGACTATTTGTATTCAATGTAAGTCAATGTAATATCCTCTGAAGTATGGAGACACGGCTGTGTATTTGTGTATGTGTGTGTGTGTGTGTGTGTGTGTGTGTGTTTGTGTGTGTAAAATGTTAGAAGTGGTCTCCCATGGTGTAATTGGCATGAACTGGAGGATGGTCTTAGCCAGCCGCCACGCCGCAGGCAGGCGGGCAGATCGACAAATATTAAGTCTAATGGGCAATTTGGTGGACAGGAGGGAGACAGGCACACGCAAGAGGAGAGGAGAGATGGAAGGATAGAAGGAGGCCAGAAGAGGAGAGGCGGAGGTCTACAAGGGGGAATTGGAAACACATGCAGTGGTCTGACTGCTGGTCTTTCCCCCTCCGCCTCATCCAGACGACCGCACACAACAAAGACGGGAGATGGGCCAGAGATGGTGTGAGGCTGAGTGCGAAGGTGATGATACATGGGCACTGACTGACAGTGTTTTATGGAAGAAAGATGGCAACTAGCGAACGCTAAACAAATGCAGATGACACAATATGCCACAAGTAGCATTTAAAAGTTGGAATGACTGTGGGTATAAATATGGACAGTGTAAGCATGTCATGTATACACGCAGAACCAATATGTATGGCATAGAGGGGAATTGTTAGCAGTTGTATATTGGAGCGTGAGATTGTGTAACTCCTTTAAAAAATTTGAAAAATATTCTTTTAAAAATCCATAACCCACATATTGCCATTTTTTCTCTTCTGGAGCTCAGACATGACAAGTGATGCCACTTCATCTGCTGCTAAAAAACTTGATGATTTGGCCAAATTACAATATGAAGCTCTGGGCTGTCGTTAGTCAAATGTGCTCCGCCTGCTGATGTTGGTACCACATCAAGATGATTCCCTGAAGAATCACTCACCAGACTGGACAGTGAGTCTTTTTGCCCAAAACCAAAGTGGCGAGTCAGAGGCCTGTCTCTGCAGCAACAATCGAACCGCAGCTAAGACTGAAAATGACACAACACATTTTCATTTCGTTAGATGCAGCTCATAGTTCCAGGCATAGTTATGGTGAACAGGCCTGGGAAAGTTTTGGTGGCAACTAGGTAGTCACCACGTTGTAGCCTCAGGTTTTCAGAATTATTGTAATCTTGACACAGGAAATCTGACACATGCGAAGAGAGAAAGGCTCCAGTTTTAACAAAATGGATTAAAGTAGGACAAAGCCAGATATCATCAAAACCATAATCTGCAACTCAACAAAAGCACATATGTTCCATATTCAAATGTGGACTCTGGAAAACAAAACCACTATTCTCTTATTTCTTTTAAAAGAAAAAGATTGACAGACAAATGGACATATATTTCTGGCCACAACAGCCCCAGTTTGTTCCTAATTCCCCCAATCTCCCTCATGACACCCCCTATTGTGTTCTAATGAGGGTTTGGTTTTATATTGTGCAAAGCTTCAAGTAACATTTTTGCCAAGGCAACATGAGCCTTCATGTGTCCCTAAACATTTGGTATAGTTTGTGTCCAATGCATGCAAATATTGTTTATCTGATTAGAAGTTAGTTCTAGTAAGTTCACTCAATGTTTGTATGTTTTTTATAATGTATATTGTAAGTATAGTTATATTTTGAACACATAACAGAACAACTTTCATTATTGGGTTCATCATAAATTAAATGCAGATATATAAGATCATAAAATGCACAGAAAAATAGCATATTCTTAACATGCTATTACAGTGAGTGTCAACTTAACTCATTGCTGGTGATTTGAACCTGCATTTATCTACTGAAATATAATATTTTGTCTTTTCTCAGGTAGCAATTTGCAAACATGAAATCTCCTGCGACAAATCATTTTCCAACTTGTTTCTTTCCAGTGAAAACTGCTTTATTTTCTTAAATTATTTTATAATTTAATAAGTCTTATATATCGCCCCTTCATTTATCTGTTTTTATTCACTCACTTACTTCTCTCACTTTTTCAGCCGCTAGAATTGAAATAGTATCCAACAAGGCAGCTTGTACTATCTTTTCACTGGTTTCCTGTGATGTTTAGAAGCAGTTGTTTGAATTTCAATGACCAAAACCAAGTTACCATCTGGAATAGAATCAAAAGTGGTTACTTTGTACCACTGACTTTGTGAATTCATGCAAATTATTGTGCCGCTTTTCTTGCTTCAGAAAAAGTAACACAGAACCCAGCACGGAAATGATAAATTATTCATGTGTGCTTGAGCAAAATTATGTCAGTCTGTGTGTGTGTGTGTGTGTGTGTGTGTTTACAATGACATGCGCATGAATTTATAGCTCACAAGTTGCCCACCTGTGTACAGTTGTGTGTGTGCGCAGAGTTTGTGCACTTGCACAAGTGTGGCTGGAGTGTGCCTGAGTGTGTGCAGTGATTAAAGTCAGGGTCTGCAGCAAGAGAGAGAGTGCGAGAGTGTATGTATCATCAGTGCGGTGATGGTGGTGGTGGTTAGAGGAGGAGGAGGAGGGGGTCAGACATAGAGAGACAGACGCCAGCCTTGGTTTGGAGCTGAGCCTGAGGAGGGACTTTGGCTGACAGAGAGAGTGGAGCGACTGGGGGAACGAGGGAGAGGAGAATGAGGAGAGAATTTGGGGATATAGTAATGCTGAAATATAGATGAATTATGGAGGACAGCAGGAAGCTGCGTTGGCAATGAATGAGCTGAAAGAGCGGAAAGAGGCAGCGGCAAAAAAGGACGAGAGATGTGTTATATGAGAGTACTGAAGTGTGGAGAGGCTGGGGGAAGGAGGAAGGAAGGAGGAGAAAAAGGAAAAAGAGAAGGAAGGGGGGAAGGTTGTATCGTATGAGCTTTGCCGCTGGAGGTATGCCGGGGCTGGGGAGGGGGCTGAGGAAGAAGACGGGGAGGAGGAAGGGGGGAGAGGAGGCTCATTAACCAGTGCGAGATTGGAGCCTCAGTGGCTTGCTCGCATTCAACCACACTCGGCCTTTGATGAGGGCTGGATCCTCAAGCTCAATCAGTCCCACATGAGTCCAACTGAGAGGGAGAGGCAGACAGAGAGGCCAGAAAGACGAAGAGAAGGAGACAGAAGGGGTGGCAGGGATGGAGAGAGTAACTCGAGGGAGGGATGGAGGACAGGAAAAGAGACAGGAAACGGAAGATGTATAGAACAGGCGGAGTGACAGCCCAGGGAGCAATAAAGGAGGGAAACGTCAGGATACAGTTAAACGGTCTGAGAGCCACAGAGAACGACAGAACTGGTTTCAGAGACTTTTCCTTTTGAAAAACAAACAAGTGTCTGGAGAGAAATTGTTTTTATAAAACAAAAATGTTTGAGTGGATCCATGATTCATTGTGAGGGAGGATTCAGGAAAAGAAAACACACAGGGATGTTTGTGACTCTGCATATATTTGCATCATCTAAAAGAGCATCACTGTGGACTGGTTGTTTTCACGTCTCTGTCTTAAATATTATTTTTGTCTCTGTGAGTTCAACTCGTTTACCTCTTTATTTGATTCACTGCAGCTTGGGAAAAACTGATGGGCAAATGAAGAAGAAATCTCTCCGCTTTGACAACACATATGTAAGAATTAGAAAACAGCAAATTAATAATATAAAAGCTAAATCAGAAGCACATTGATGAGTTTGAAAAAACGTCAAATACAGATACACTGCACACACAGTGTGACATGGACTCAAAAGAAAGGATGCCTGTTGATGAGTGAAAGCTAATGCCTGGCACACAGTCATTATCTGCAAATTTTCTTAAAACATTTTTGTCAAGAATCTGTTTTCCATTTGGTGAGAGCATTTTTATGCCTCCCTGCTCGTGACAGACAGTCAGTGGCTGGACGCATTAGGCTTTTGGGCTGTCTGTCTGTCCCACGCTTGTGAACACAATGTCTCAAGAACGTCTTGAGAAATTTTTGTTTTATTGGACTCAAAATAAACTGATTAGATTTTGGTGGTCAAAGGTCATGTTCATTGCGACCTTACGAAACATTTTTTTGGCATCTTGAACATGACATTTCAAGTCAGTGGTCAGTGACCTCATATGTAGATTGAAACTGCAGTGGTTGGCAGAGGCATACAACTACAGGGTGGTCATTTTAGTTAACTTTTATTTGCTTGTGTGTCTTAAGTTCTCTTTGCCACCGAGTTGCAGCCTACTATGTGTGCGTGTGTGTGTGTATGTGTGTGCATGCACATGTGAGTGCGTACCTGATCATGTGACTGGCGTGTGCCATTGACTGCTGCTGTGGATGAATGTGGCAGTATTTAGTGGTTCTCCTGAAGCTCAGGTCTCTTTCAACACCACATCAGCACCAGAGGGACACAGAATCATTACCCCTTTACTGTGTCTCTACCAGAGGCAGCATTAAACTTACTGCCCCATCTGCCTCCTTTGCTTTTCCTTTCTAAAGGCGTCTGCAGGAACCAATTAATGGCAGCAGCCATGAGGGCTGCAATTAGTAAGTGTTAAACTAAATCAAAACATGTCCCTCTCTCATGTCTGGAATGTAAAAGATTTTCAGTACAAAATAAATCAACATGAACTTTCGAATTATATCCAAATTAAAGATATAATATGTAACAAATCTTCTTTAAAAAGTCTAAAAACAACAAGACTATCTCGTCTATTTTGTTGGATTATGTTCTTACATTATCTAAAGTCAAAACAGTTTTGCTGTATCTGCTATAACTTCTAAGGCAAAAGACGTATGATGAAGCAAAAACACACTGTCAGTTGGCTGTTTGTATTGGTCACACATAATGGATCACGATTATTTGTTACCATTTGCTGCGTAACATGAATAAAACTTTAATATCTCATCCGTGAAGATGATCACACGCTGCTTCACGACATCTTCAAGGGTCTTTTGTTATTGTTTTGATTGAGCAGCTCAAGTTACATATAGTAGGTTTAACATTGTCTGTCTTTAGTTTTGCATTTGTATTTTATTTAATATATCCTGCCTTGTTAGTGGTTTTGTTTATTGTCTCATCATAAATCTGGAAAGTATAATAAAAGAAAAACAAACCATGTTAGTTCCACTGCTGCACTGTTATATGTCAGTGTTTTTAAATATGTACTTAATAAGGCTATTAAGCTGACTCGATGAGTTCATCTTGTGACATGTAAGATAATAAAGACCTTAAATCAACAACGAACAAGCTCATCCCAAGTGAAAAAAGATAAATGACAGTAAAAAATCTGCTTAATATGCCGTCCTGCTTCCTTTAGGGCAGAGAGGGGAGGATAGCAGATGTAGCGGCATCTATGGTATAGATACTGGATGATGTTATCTGGATGATAACCTACAGGCTGGATGTAACTCTATACTCTCCAGTTGAATCCCCTCTACCACTTGGCAGACATATAGAACTGAGGTTGCTTTATTGGTTTCCCTAATTGGTGCCAGTTTCCATTTTCATTTCCAAAAATTACAGTGGCGTAGCGTTCTGTTCATTCTGCCCACATCCATACGCTCTGTGTGTGTGTGTGTGTGTGTGTGTTCGTTACAGAGGGAGAGACACTGAGGGAGAAAAAGAGGGGGAGGGCGACAAAAAAAAACAGCAAAAGAGGGAGCGGAGAGACGCTGCTGTGCTGCATGTGTAAACGTATGCTGTAACTCTGTGATGACTGTTTGTGCTTTGTTCTGTTTATGTGTGTATAATGAGTCATCAGTGATTGGCCAAGTTGATGTGGTCAGCGATGGAGGCAGGGGGAACACTTTACAGTAAGCGCATCAATGGAAAAGAGCCTCTCTGGGAGGGAGGAGCAGGATGAGGGGGGTCTGGGCAGAGCAGAGGAGCACATCATTCCTCCAATTGTAGGAGTAAATTACACAAAGATACACAAAACTCACCACAGCTGAGCACAAAAGCCATCGTGATGGAGGGAGCAGAGAAAAAAAGGCCTACTTCAGATTTGGGTAAACACACGTGCAGGGGCTGCAGGAAAAGTAAACAAGGCAAAGACATGTTTGGCCGGAGCCGAAGGC